AGGGGCATGCGCCACACCTGCTTTATTTAATATCTGAAGGTTTTTTAAATTCGATATCATTTGTATATAAAGAAATGCCAGAGGAACGTGTGTTGCAGCAGGGACACATGGAGAAGTGTCAGGACACTGGAGTTTGACTCCTTGCAGTGCATTTCTACATTCTGACTTCAACCCACCACTTGCACCATCAGTTTTCTGATGGTCGCACTTTCCATACATTGTTGTTTCTGAAAGACTCCAACCTCTGCAGGGATGTTTGGCCGCCTCCTTTGAATGCCACATTTAGAAATGACAAACCTTCTCATTTAAAGATTGGTGTGAACAGGCACATCCAAGAAAACATTACACATGACCAGAGTGGCAGCACGGTGCACCTTTGTGATCATGTTACTCGTGGTATGTTCACACTGATTATTCTGTATCTCTAACCTGAGCAGGATACACTAACATTACACGATGCCCCACCTTACGACCAGTCAGACAGTTTTTCTGAAGCATCGTGTCGGCCTTGGTGTGTGGAAAGTTGTATTTATTGAGTTTTCTGCTGGGATAGTCAGGTAGTCTCATTGTGACTCAATATGAGGATTTACTAGAGAAAGCCTCATTTTGACATCATGTTGCCACGCTCATCTGTCCATGTTTGTGATTGGTTACGTGTTGCCTTTATAGTAAAGGACACATTTAGTCAACGCTGAATTAACTGACATATAATATTAACATTAATATTAACATAGTATTTTGCAAGTGCAACTCAATTAACGAGACAAAGCCTGAGTTTCTTTGATATGCAGACCAGGGAAGGAAGAGTCCAGCTCCAACCCAGATAATTTCAACCCCTCCTAACCAGTTTAAACCAGATCATGGGTTTCATTAACTGGGTTTGGATTTAACGAGCTCACTTCTGACCAGTTCAGAGTATCAATTAGCCAAGACGATTTCAACTGAGATCAGGGACAAACGGGTCCAGTCCAGATCAGATGACCCTGTACAGGTGGATCTGTCTGAGAGCGTCGGGGTCTGTGTCTCTGCCCAGGTAGACGTCGTAGTTGATAGGAAGCTCCTCCACCCAGTCAGGCTGCAACACCTCCTGTTTGACACAGACACAAACACATTGAGGAACAGACCAAGAACGGCTTGGCTCATGATGTTAGCAGTCACTTTATCCATGAGAGGAACAAACTTCATCTGTCACAACATGAGAAACACTTTTTACTGTCCACATGTAAGAACTGCTAACATCCGCCGAGCGTCACCTGCAGGGGATTCAGACTCTCGTGCAGGCTGGGAACAGTGACCAGCAGAGATCCCTTCTTCCGGAAATTCTGCACGATGAACTTCCATGCCCTGAAAACAGAAAGTCATCATAGCTGTGTGCATCTGACAGAGCGTACAGAAGGGAAGCCGAAACCAAGGTTTTCTACATCAGGACATAATGAAACACATACGGTCTTTGGCAGGTCTCCATGTAGTTGAAGTGTCTTAAGGTCCCACCTGAGTTTTCAGTCACCTTTGACTGGCACATGGATTCTTTTCATGAATTCTCAGTAGATTGAGAACAAGCTGGACTGTCAGACCAGGGAGCTCACATCCGACTCTAGAACAGAGGTCCCAGGTCTGCTCTGGCTGCACGACGAACCCAAATCATCACGTGTTCGTGCCAGTGTGCTGTGTTTAACTAATTGTACTGCTGTGGATTACAGACACACATCTCCACTTTGGTCTCACCTGTCCAGAGCACATTGTTCAAATGAAGTTTGCAAACCTAAGCCATGTCACCATGTTTTTTTAAAGAGAACACGCTTGCCTACCCTGCACATTCAGTCTTTTTCCACCTGCACATGAACTTTTCAGCATGCTTAATGGAGTCCTCTGTTGTCTGAGATAATCCTCAGATAACCCTTTCAGTCATATTACCATTATTTCACCCAAAGGCACCAAGTCAATACTCAAAGAAGCTGCAGCTGTACACACAAATATAAACAGTACTTGGTGACACCTTTGCTTTTAGCCTCTAACCCTCTGGGGTCCAGGGTGTAACTGGCTGTTTCTGACTACTGGATTTGTTCTCTATATTTCACCTTTAAAACTGTTTAACTTGCCAATCTGTTATTTTCTCATTTTGACAAACTGTATCAGCACCATTGATCTAAATTCAGACAAAATATAAAATACGAGTAGAAAGTGATCATTTTGACTGTAAAAACCACAAACATGTTTAACGAATCATTGTCATAACTTGAAATGCAAATAGAAATTGTACATTGTTAAAAAATATGCACAAGTTTTGCAAACAACAAAGTTATTTGGTTCTATTTACCTAAAAATGCAGCCAAGGCTCAGACGTTTTTTATATAACCATTTAAATCTATTTACAGAACAATCAGCCGTTCTGCATCAAAGAAGAAGGCACACAAATGATTTATGCAACTGCAAAAAATAGTTTGTGTCACTCTGACACAGAGGAGAACAGCACAGGGATGAACCTGCAGGTCTGACAGCAGCTGTGTCAGCGTTTACACTGCAACCTGCCTTTGGTGGCTTTTTTGCAGCTGTGACGTTCACTGACACACAAAACAAAACAACGACTACACACTGACTACACAAGACAACACACTAACTTGAGACTCCAAACACAGTAAACGTCACAAATCTCTCACCTATCAAAACTCGCTCTCTCTCGCTGGCGTCACTCCTAAAACTTCCCCCTCTTCCTAAACAACCAGATGCCACATGTTGCCGTATCGTTTTTTGATTCTCACAGTTTTTACGGTTTCTTCCCGCTGTAAACACCGCTGTTTTATTCAGAAAAATAAACAGCGTATAGAGATGTGGGCACGAGTGGCACCAAAATCTAAACATCAAGCGCCAGCATTTCCAGCACCTGTAATCATTAACTCTGCGGTTTTAATCCCTACTTGCATTTTATTTGCCCCAAAAACAGTCATGTACAAAACGACGGAGACTCAAAACAGTCAAATGTCACATGTCTGAACGATTTCAGACCTGTGGCACTCACCCCCATTCCCGCCAAATGCCTGGAGAGACTGGTCATTAAACACATCAGAGCTGCTTTTCCACCATC